GAGTTATGGTAAATTAATTTGGAAATATTTTACCGTGCCAACCAACTCCTGGTAACGGATATAAGATATCGAGTCTAAATCTTACGACAATTATCTTATTTGTTTTGTTTTGACAGTGCCCTAGCCCAGTAGTCGACTCCCAGCACCACAACGGGCGTTACTGAGAACAAGCGAAAGTCAGGTTTGTTTGTTATTTCCTGCATACTTATTGACAAACTTTTAGTTCGCAATAATAAAAGAACAATTGCGAGTAAAAGAAAAACTTTTACTTAAAAATCTTGCATAAAATGAAAGAGACCTCTGAAGCTAAAGTCAAAGTTGAGAAATAATGGGTGCATATACTTTGTGTTGCTAAAAGTTAAGTTTCATATTTTAATGAATCGATTCAAATTTCACCAGGGGAGTCTTGTCATAAGTCAGCAATAGAAACACAGCATGTGTTAACATCAACGTTGGTTGATTAAAAAACTACGAGAGAACTTAAGCCGTTGCAATGTTTCGTGCTTAAAAAACAAAAAAACACTAGTTTTTGCTCAAGGTCGAACTGATTTCCCAATTGAGTAATGCTGATTTGTTTCATTGTAGCCAGCTCCGTGGGGCCATAGTTACTCGATAAAATATGATCGGCTTCCTTGTTTTAAAAGTTTTGCTTATCAGTAAAGTTGTCAAAACACTTTGGATTTTTTTATACTTAACAAATTTCATTCTACTATCTCTTGTACCGAACTCCAGATCTACCAACCCTTTTAGACAAATGGGGCTCCTTTCTAAAGAGATTTGCTGGGTCTATTTCAATGCTTATCATCCCAATCTACACTTTCGTTAAGTATTTGCGAGTCGATTTAAATCAAACTTTTCTACCGCAAATTGCACAGCAGAAACCGAAGAAATTCATCGAGTACAAGCCGCATTTAGTCCCTTTCTGTCTCAGATTAGTGTCACATTCAACATGTCCAGTTTTTTGTTGGGAAGGTAAAAAGATTTATACGCGTTATACCCCAAACAAACCACAAACTCTAACCACTTCAAAAACTCTTTTGAATTTACATAATTACATTGAATTAAGTTCCCATTTGAAACTGAACATGGAAAAATCCGCATGATTGATTGTCGATGGACGAAAGTAGATTATATTCTCCGTTAGATCATTAATTCTGACTGATTATCATAACAGTTATTTAGCTGGTTTGTCGGCCCCATTGGCAACCCATAGCGTTGTTCACATCCGTTTGGTGACTATAGATCTAGATTAGTCCGCTGAATTTTTCTAGGGGCCATAAAACCATGTTAAAAAATATAGCATTTCTAACTGCTGTCGTTTGTCGGGAGGGTCATCGTTAGTATCAGTCACTCTAAAGTCTTTTATTTTTTCCTCTCAAGTATGTTAAGGAAATCTCCCCGTAGTCAAGAGGAAATGGACAGTTACCCTTCCAGAACTGCGACAGGGGGAAAATATGAATTGAAATATGGATTTACGGCAAATCTGCTGGCGGAAACCTCGATGGCAAATGTGAACGGAACGGAATGCAATAACGAGATGAAAATACCGAAAATTTCCTCCATCAGTCATGACAGATATTTCAGTCTAGGAAAACAGTCACACGTTGATAAAAGTAGTAGAAATTCAAGAGTTCCTTCAGAAGGCTACCGGCAATTGGCCACTGAAATAGAGAAGAGAACTCATAATAAAGAGCAAGATGGCGCTTCTAGAGACGAAGATTCTCCTCTACAGATCCAGATCACCTCTACTTTCTCACTCAATCCAAACATGTCGTCTAACTCCAGTCACGGCAAGAGGTCAAATTACCCGCAAACAACCTCTTTTTACTCCCAATCCACTCAAAGTCCATCTTGTTTCTCTCACTACTCGACTCGTCCCATTTTGGGTCAGCGGCACACAACAACGGAAACTAAGACACCGATACTAGCTCATCTCCAAAAAGATTCCCTTGCGATTACATTTAGTTATTTTGGAAAAGACTCAGTTGATTCAACGGTGCCCGATGACAAACTCAACCACGCATATGAAATATACACAACAACTGAGCCAAGTAGAATGACTGACGGAGAAGTATTAAAGGAAGTTTGGAACAAAAATCACTTTGCAGACGAGGATGATAAGCATCTTTTGAAGGATCGTTCCTCTTCAGCGCCACCGATTCATCGCCACATTTTTAACGCGGATGTTAGGTCATACCCATCAATACCTCTGGAGTGCTACAGATATGCACATAATACAAGGCAAAATAAATGTGAGGGAAAGAGAGGGGCACGTGAAAAACATCTAGAACAATGCTTTTGCATCTGGGATTATCCGAAAGGTCAGTTCTTACTGAAAGGAGGCAGCGAAAACAAAATGCTTCCAGTAGGAACGAATAATCAGCAAGACAATTCTTGGTCTAATTCACTGCCTATCACAATAGCTGAAGAAACAGGAACTCAAGATGAATCGGTTGCTATGGATCTGAAAACCAATGAAACACAATTGTCGCCGTGCTTCGCCACCGGTGAACATGATTTGCTAGTAGTAACGGATACCAATGACAACGACGATAAAACATGGCTTAACGATGCACAAAGACCAATTGGGGTCTTAACTGGAGAAAAATTGTTACCTTGGAGACATCAAACCCTGTCCGTAGAATCTTTCCATAAATTAGATACAACAAAAAAGGAGAGACTACAACAAAATGATGCACAAAGTGGCTACCCGTGGGTATTCACATATGAAAATGGTTCCTTCGAGGTAAGTTGTGGAGCAAGACAAGGTTTGAAGAGAAATCCCCGCAATTCACGGAGATCCAAACGGAAATATGGAAAGGCACGGTTTTACGTCACGCCAGCACCTGAACCATTCCAGAACCTGGAGATGCAGCTGGCTTTGGAAAATGACAAGGAACCGGTGGTTAAGATACCAAACTACTTCTTTGATGTCACCCAAGAGAAAAGAGCATATCATAATCCGAAACTCGAGCTTGTAAATCCCTTAAGAGAAAACATTTTTTCAGGCCCTCAGGATTTGAATGTTCAGCCATCACAACAGAGTTGTCTACCCTTTCAAAAACCTCCAAGCAAACCAACAAAACCAGCACTCAGTGAGGTCAAATGCAACAAAGAATACAGGGAGGTGACAACTTTGGAGAATTCTGCGCCATGCAAAATAAACAATAAGGGAACAAGAACCCTAGATGTATACAAACATTTCACAAAAGGCCAAGGTGCTCTGATTCTAAATAAAAACCCATCTTCGGTCAGAAGCTTTCAATTTTGTTCATTCAAAGACGAAAGACCAAAGTCTGCCTTCGTGAACCAAAGCTCTTTAACCAGCGTTTCATGTCCGCCACCAACCTTAATGAGTAACTGTCCAGGGCTTACCAGCCGAAATCAATACCAACCAACATATCCTATTCTGAAACTACCCCAAGAGAGACCGAGCAGAACAATCGAGGGTGTAAGCATTTCTTATGGGGCTGAAAACTCTTTGAAATCAATGGTAGCTGTTAGGTCTCCTTTTCAACGATCAAGAGAGTTCTTCCAATTTCATGATATGATCGCAAAACGTGTAAGTAGCGCCACGTGTGAAAGAAAAGACAGATTGGAGTCCACAGAATGTGGATTTCCTTCTAGTAGTTCGCAAAACCAACAAACAACGAACCAACCAAAAAGTAGTTCGTCGAAAAAAATGGACATTTTACCGCAACTGGGGAGTTCCAAAGCAAATGATTTCACAGGAGAAAAGGAAGGTCTATCACGTTCAGAAACTTGGAAAGGAATCTTGCATCATGATGTGAACTCCACTTACACACAGACATCTTCCGCTGGAAATTCAACAAAAGAGGTGCCAATTGGGGAACGAAAATATCAATGCGAGGTGTGTGGACGGGCGTTCAGTCGAAGTAACACTTTAATCACCCACAAGCGCATTCACACTGGTGATAGGCCTTTTCCTTGTGATTTGTGTGGTAGGGCATTCCGTCAACTTGGAAACCTAACTCGTCATAAACTGACTCACGCTTCTATCAAACCTCACGCCTGTCCACAGTGCAACAAGTGTTTCAGCCGCACATCCAACTTAAACACCCATATGCGAACACACACAAATTACAAACCATTTTCGTGCGATTTTTGCGGAAAGGGATTCCATCAGAAAGTCGACATGAAAATACATCGCTACACTCACACTGGTGAGAAGCCACACAGGTGTAGCAAGTGCGGCCGCGGCTTCAAACAGCTCACTCACCTGAAGTACCACATGAGAACTCATTCCGCTGTTCGAATGTACAAATGCGAACACTGCGGCAAAGGCTTCAATCAGAAAGGAAACCTCCAGGCACATATCTATGGACATACGGGAAACAGACCCTACAAATGCGACATTTGTGGAAAGGGATTTACTCTCACTTCTACACTTAACACTCACAAACGTACCCATGCGCCAACTAAGCCATTCAAATGTGAGTTTTGTGAAAAAGCTTTTTACCAAAAGAACGCATTAAAAACTCACTACATATCATCTCACCCATACACGGACGGAGTTTGCCTTCTTTGACATTTCATACACGAACGAAGTGTTCACGAGAAGATCTTTTTATGAGTCGAACTTCCCTTTCATTCTCCCTCTTCGAAAGACTGAAAGGCAGCTTTCTTGTTTGTATCCGGTAACATATTGCACGCTGGGTAGAGATAGAATATTGTACAAAAAGACAAAATAACGTCAATTGTCATTTTGATTCAAGAAAAAAAAACGACGAAACAAAACAAAACAAAAAGCGAACGAACGAAAGAACCACAAACAAGAAAGCAAACCACAAAACCCGAGGTAATTGCTATCGTGTTACAGTCAACTTGATTTCACTGATTTTATCTGAAAATGTCAATCAATTGTTAGAAATTAATACTCATAGTGAGTTCATTCAGTTATTCTTAATGCCAGTCAATAAACAAAACAAAATATGAAAAAGATGGACAAGAAATATAAAAAGAGAGAAAAAACGTTCTGTAAAATTGAGTAAAACTTTATTGTAGTTGCGTCATATTGTTATTTCTTTGTACAGAGTAAGTCCATAATGCTTAGTATCACATTCTTATTAACAGGAGAAACAATCAAGTCTTCATAAATAAATTTGTAGTAGTTACGTTACTTAAATAAATTGCACTGGCAAACGAAGTGAAAAAGCCAACAATTTAGAAATTTAAGTCTTAAACATTTAAGGGATTGGGAGTAGACCCAAAAATTATGTTCCATGAATATAAAGTACTCGTAGCCTCTTAAATGAGACAAAGCAAACGAGCACTATGTAAATAATTAAAATTTCAATTAGTGCCATGGAAACAACTATCTTACAAGATACTACATGTTTTCGATTTCTTGTCTTTGTTTCTTACTTTTCCCTCACTAGTTGAATCTTTTGTTTGAGAAACCTTACGTTCTGGTGTTATTAGTTTATCGTTTTTCTCGGCAGCTAAGTCCTTGTTATTGTTATTTGCATCGCTGTTGTCTTCCTTTGAGTCCATCATTGCTAAAAAATGAAGAAAGAAAATTTGTAATCTATCTACAATACAATTCTAGTTACCTCCAGTAATAAAAGAGTATGCATAACTGAAGTAGCAGGAATGCTATTGACAACAAATAGCACAGTAGTGCTTCGACCCGAAGAGTAACAGTGATCATACGGTGCAATGATTACATTGGGAGATGGAGGCTAAATCACTGGAACATTTTTACTTGTCTGAAAAACATCCATACTCTGTAAAAAGGGTCTGAGGTACACAGCTTGTGAGCCCTTGGTAACAGGTCCATTGACATATAGACACAAAAGATCCATCAGATCATAGGAGTGCGTGGCCAAAATAGAATGAACTTATTCTCTAACTATTTTGATTAATGGTTTAGTCACCAATCCTCCATACAACGAAGGTTGGCATTCTGATTAAAGATTATTATCAACAAAGTAGTATTCTCTATGATATTCCTTACGATTTTTTCGATAAAATGTGTTATTATCACGCCAATCAGAGACTGATCGGGGCTTCGCTTGGGTACAATAACACCTTCACACGTATTGAATATGAAACGATCTTTGCAGTAATGAACACTACTTAAGCAGTAGTGAAAATAAGCCCTGAAAAAAATTCAGGACTGTGCAGGATTTGACCCCATGACATCTGCGATACCAATGCAATGCTCTACCAACTGAGCTATGTGAAATGCGGATAAAAACGTGAATATGAACGCGATCTTCGCAGTAATGAACGCTACTTGAGCAGTAGTAAAAATAAGGCCTGAAAAAATTCAGGACCGTGCAGGATTTGAACCCATGACCTCTGCGATACCAATGCAATTCTCTACCAACTGAGCTAACAAGCCAACTAGGAGCTGGTTGTTATGTTGGTTCCATAAAAACCCGTTAAGTGATGAATAAATGACAGTGAATATATCAAAATCATATATGTGAAATGCGGATAAAAACGTGAATATGAACGCGATCTTCGCAGTAATGAACGCTACTTGAGCAGTAGTGAAAATAAGGCCTGAAAATAATTCAGGCCTGTGCAGGATTCGAACCCATGACTTTTGTGATACCGGTGCAGTGCTCTACCAACTGAGCAAACAAGCCAACAGAGAGCTAGACGTTATATTGGTTCCATATACATCCTTTAAGTGATGAATAAATGACTGTGAATATGTCAAAATCAACTTCTTCACTTCAAAATCGTGTGTGTTTGCTCGAGCATGAGGTATATTGCGCTCCACAAGACGCTTTTTCTGTCACGACATCCAGTGAAGAATTATGTGCAAATAGACGATGACGAAGTAGTAGGCAAACTAGACAGCTGCAGGATGGAGTAAGCAATCAAAAAAGCCAACATTTAGCCCCCGTCCTCCCCCCCCCCCCCCCGTCTATCGTCTACTAGCCAAGCACTCCAACAAATGACAATAGTATTGATAGGGTTCCAACCTTCCTGAGTGTTCTTATCCGCCAAGGCCAGCCAGTTGTTTTTGTTGTTAACACATCCATCATAAAGAGGTTTCAGACAAGGTTCCAAGTCATAAAATAACTGCGGGAAAAGAGCGCATTATAAAGCTAGGCCAGATGACATCACGACATTAAGTTAAGTTCAAGGCAGATCAACTTAACAGTTTACCCTTTACAAAAAAAACCAGTGAACCCTACCTGATACACCGGCATACAGATGAAGTCGATAAAACCAACTTGCATCTTTGGGAGCTCATCTTTCTTTTTCCTATCCATCATTGGCTATAACGACACCATAAATGTAGGTAAGTAATTTTATATGAAACTGTACAGAATGTGGTTCATATGATTGCTGAGAAAATAAATTTCATACCTAGTTCAGAACCTCAAAGGGCCACAGAAAACAATTTTATTTAACTTTAAAAATGATAAAATAGATCACTTGTCTGCGGAGAAAATACCTGATTCAAGAAATATTAAGTTCTTACTAAACGAGCGTGAGAGCCGTACTGAGGATTATTGACTTGAAGTCGAGGCAGTACGGAGCGAGCGTAGAGAGGTCCGTCCAAAAAATACCGAGGGCCAATATTCCCTTATGCGACTCGAGCAAACGAGGTTTGTAAGTAGTTCATTATACGGCACTCGGAAAAAACTTGCTTTGAATTTCCCGGCTTTCGCGAACGAAATACACGCCTCATGTCCGTCTCCGTGGAAAGGGTCCGACCAAATGAGAACCAATCAAAACGCTTTACCTCAGGACTACCTTGCCATACAATTTAATTGAATTGTACGACACTTCAAAGCATAATTTTGTGATGGTCATATAAAAATAGATCTACCGTTCACACCTGAAAGCATAATTTTGTGATGGTAATCTACAGACAGATTTACGGTTTACACCTCAAAGCATAATTTTGTGATGGTCATCTACAGACAGATCGACGGTTCACATCGTGAAGATCGCATCTTCCTTACAAATTAATAGGTTACATGATACTTACAATAGGTTCAGAATTGAGTTGTAATCTCTCCAGGTCACCTTGTTCGAAAAACTCGCTTGCAACTAGCTCAGCTACCTGTTTAAAGATTTACGATTTTAAAAAGCCTTCACAAATTCTATTCAAAGGCGACCCATTTTAAAACCCAGAATTGTATTCGAATTCGAGGATCAGGTCAGCGGCTACTCTCGAACCATGTTTTGGTGTGGATCCCGCGCGAAAGAAAAGTCTCAAGCCAGCTCTAACAGTTATTTTTTCTCGAGAGCCCACGTATCACAGCAAGACTCGCGAAAAAAAGGCAGAGAGTAATGAAACTGTTGGTGAAACAACCAACACGCTTTTTCGATCCTATGCGACAAACATAAGTACGGTGTGAACCTCTGCCTTTGTCTCTCTCATTGAACACATCTTAGAAGGATAATTCAGACCTGCTGTTGGACGTTCCACGGCTTAGTGATGGCTGCCACATCACAAGCTGTCATCATCATTGCTCTTAAAATTTCAAGGTTGGATTGTGTAGTCCAGTCAGTCGAGTCTGAATGTACAATCTGCTCAAAATTGCCTCTCTTCCTGCAAGATATCCGACTTTAAATCAGTACTTGTGACATGCTCAGCAAACCGTTGTAGATTCCGACGAGTGAAAGAAACAGGGCTACACTAGAGTTCGTGGGTAAACCGAATTTCGAGATTTCATCTAACTCATGGCAACCAGTAATATCACAATAGATGTAACTCGACTTAGAACCAGAAATGGTGTAGCACGTTCCTGTGACAGTTCCCATCTCAAACAAAGCCATTAATTATTTTGTGTGATAACCATTGGCCGAACCAGGGATTCATTGCAGCTTTTACAGAGTCCGTCGAAGTAGATTGAGTTGTTTTGCAAATTGAGTACTATTCTTTATCTTTATGTTTACAACAAATCACCCAAAACAGATGGTCAGTTAACAACCAAAACAAATTAATTGTGAAGTATACATCATGCTGCTCGACAGCATTTCATGTCCAGCCCTAAGATGATGAAAACGATGAAACAAACGTAGCTTAATAAAGTTTACTTACTGGAAATACAGCGCAAGGTCTGTGGACAAGATGGCGTGCTCCAAAATCTTGATTGTTGCTCGATAATCATCTGGTGACAACTCCTCGAATATATTGTTTCCCTTCAAAACGATTAAATAAACTACCTTAAAGCAGTGAAAAAGTGTGATCTAAAATGACGCATTGTTATGATAAACAATTATATCCTATCAAAGCGTCGGCCGGCAGTTGAACGGAAGTCGGCTGCCTTAAGGGTCACAGTAAACACATATTGGCTTAGGAGTTGACAATCCATCATAATGATGATAATAAGAATAATAACAATGACAATAATCATAATAATGATGATGATGATGATGATGATGATGATGATAACCATTACAAATTCCTCAAATATTGACTTCACTGCAGTTAATCTCCATACTGCTGAATACCAGCTCTCACAAACCTTTTCAGCCACAGAAACAGTGCACTTACCTCTGAATTTAAGATCATAATGCAGTGATCAAAATGATGGTGTTCCATGGTGGAAGTGCCGTACAACTGGGCCAGTGGAGATTCTGTCCTATCATGGAAATGACATGATAACTTATAGAAAACAATCAACTCTCTCTAAACGGGCAATCTCGTAAGCAACCAGTATATAGGGGTTAAGTTTATAAAGAAACTGTGGTGCTGCATTGGTGGGAGAGTACAACAAGGTAATTTGGTTTTATCAACTGAGTTGATAACGTAAATAGGCCACCATGAATTTTCAAAGCTGACGTTTCGAGCGTTAGCCCGTAGTCAAAGCGAATGACGAAGAGCTGACGCTTGAAACGTCAGCTTGGAAACTCTTTACGGTGGCAAACTTATTTTATCAACAATAAACTAAGGTGTTACAAAAGAAGATAGAAATTAGAACCATTGCAAGTAAAGAAATTGAGTATGTAATTCTCGGACACATATGTAAACAGGCCCTTACACATGGAGTTGGGAACCCCAGGTAGGTGAGGTAACCCGCCTGTCCATATACTTTCTTATTTTTTTCTTGATCATGTTCACATGATAAGAGGGCTGACCCGTCTTGGCGGGTTGCCCGGTGACAATTCGCCATGTAGACGTCTCAAGGTGGGGTAACCCGCCTACTCGGGGTCTCGTTCATGGCAAAAAGCTCCAAAGCGAAACACGTATGTTTTTAAACTTTTTACATTTCCCAGCCGTCTCATGGCAGAAACCACCAGAAACCACAAAGGACACACAAGGAGTATAAAATGTTCACATTCGGAATATTTAGCGTTGTAAATCGACCATGTTTCAAACTATTTCGTATAATGTATTAAGTCAATGGTTCCTCGCGTAACCTAACACCGCGTAACACAACGCGTGACGCTTTCATGAATAAATACATACGTGTCCAAGAATTAATCTTTAGTCTTTCTCGAGATGTGAGCTTTAGACGCCCATGCTCAAACTCCCTAATTGCAAGCGTAGCAACAACCTCAGGAAACCTCACCTCAGCACCCCGGGGTCGTAAGATTGTATGTAAACGTGTTTTATTTTTCGACCACGGCTAGGCGGGTTACCTCACCTACCTGGGGTCCCCCACTTCCATGTAAACAGGCCCTAACTTATGGGAAACACACGCATGCTACACCAGAAAACCCGCGTGTTGCAGAAGAGGTTGATTACTCGCAATTTCTCGTAGTTTTGAATTTCCCTTTTGTTTTTCAGTACACGCCTATGCTTGTATATTTTAACACGGATGTGATAGAAATTTATTGGAAAAACATTCCTTGAAATGGGAAGTCGTCGTGTGTTTTGAGCGAAAAAGATCGTTAAGTGATCAAAACATCACCGGCCAGATTATGGTCACGTGCTTGGCAACGACTTGTAGAAACCGGTCATATTTCATTCTTACCATTTAGAAAGTCACGTTTACATAGAAAAACAACAAAACGAAACGACCATTGCGAAAAGTTCGAAATTGGCGTAGCTGCCGAAACGTAAAAAAAACCCCTGAAACGAAAGAAATAGTGCCGTAAATTAACATTTTTTTTAGGTCATGGGTACATGTTTCCGTGGGAATTTCCACGTCAACAGCTTGCTCTGTCACTCACAAACTCTTGGTGATTCTCGCTGCTCCTCGTTATGTTTAGCGCATGGACGATTCGAAGTCCCTTCAAATTTGGTCTTTAAGTTGATCATAACACTAATCTGAAACATTCGAAGTCCATTTCAATTTAGTAAATGTCGAAACAGTCGTGTAAAGCAACAAACATCGCAACGATCGATGCAATCACAATGGCGCTTGGACTTCGGACTTCTTCGGAAGGATAGATCTCGAGTTCGGAGCCGACTAATTACGACTAATAACGAAGAGTCCACTCCAATTTGCATATCCCAAAGTGCCCATATCAACTCGTTGCTACGCTATCGCGCATCACGAGTTAAAAACTCCAAGAACAATTATTGCTTTTCGTCTTTATTATTGCTTCAGACGTCTTTTCTGGTTTAATCAGCAAATACACAGTGTACTGTAATATACATTTAGAGTGCATTACCTGATTTAAAAAATGTTCCTACTAGAGCAACTTTGCATACTTGCATACATGAGACCAGAACCAAACAGATTGCAATTACAGTGCCTTAGCCACTCCACCATGCTGTCTCTAGCGAAGTATATAGGTATGCTCCTTATTTTTGTATACTATGGTAAGGGTTTTCTTCCTTCCATGCTTTCACATACATCTCTGTTCACTTACTTTGTTTGAAATGCATTATTGGTACCACGATGATCAAGATCATGACAATAACATGCAATGACCAAAGCAAACACCTCCAAATCAGTGAAAAACCTTCTCATGTTACCAGTCTGTTGAACAAAAAATTAATAATAATAATTATGAAGTCATGCATGTTTATATCAGCTTTGTTGATGAGGATAACCAAATGAGTTCTGTAAACTTTTAAATTGAAAGACCTCTAAGAAATTAAGCCAAATGCTCATTCTAACTCATGTCTCTATTCCAATTCCATGGAAGCCTTAAATATCAGAAATAATTCTCACTTCCAATACTTAAATTTATTCTCTACATTGTATAAGAACAAACTTCACACCTCTAATTTACCCATAGCTTATACTGCAGTCATCTCTATCATATTCTATCCAATCCTTCAAGGGGAAAATCTGACAATAGCACCAATGGATGGATCACACCCTCATAACAAAGGTTGAAGACCAAACTTCCTTAGAAGTTGCAGTAAACAACTATCAACTCACTGTAATCATTGTAAACATGCTCTGTGCCACATTAAAGGCGTGTCTCCAGTTGTGATAAATGACAGGTCGATAGTTTTTCTTTACACTCAGTAACCATCTACAGAGTGTCTGAGACAGTACAGAATAGAGAGATCAAGTCAGCTTTGATTCCTCATATTGGAATACATTCATTAACTGACTTAACATTTAATACAATCATAATATAAAATATGATCCAAATTCCACACCAGACAGTAACAATTTATTATAATAATTATTTAATAATAATGTATTTCTTATTAGGCACAAATTAACATCTGAATATTATCAAAGGCAACTTGTACACATACATATATGTATGCATATATATGCATGTACTGTATGTACTGTATGTACTGTATGTACATGTATGTATGCACTGTCTGACGAGCACTTAGGCACGAAACTCAGAGTCATAGAGAATCAATTGGTCCTCTTTAATTCTTTAACTTATGTGTACTTAGCTCTGCTACCACAGCATTGAGCACTTTATGCCAAGGTAGACCCTATCCCCTCATTCATTTATATATTACACACACACATGCACACACACATATAATATATATATATAATTATATGAATTGTTTACAACAAAAGTTACCAGTTGCTTTGTGTGCACAGCATTCATGAAATCAAGCTCCTGCATTAATTGTATTGATGCAAGGATAGTGTCATCATCTGTCAATTCAAAGTCACTGAAGTCAAAAGTGTACAGCTTGAAATCATTAGCAGAAGGAATTTCCTGACTCTGAAAAAGAATCAAAATCTTTCAGTAGCATTGGAGACCAGAAAAACACAACAGATTTTTGCCTTGAACAATATTAGAAACTTGATAGGTACTGATCAAATAAACTCCTCCTTCAACAGTCACTACACATATCCACATCAATTTTTTCACATTCATTTGAGTCATTTTGCAAAGTTATTGATAACAGAACTAACATAAGAGAAGTATAATAAAAAATTCTTCCATTCCATCCTGGTGCCATATATACATTGTGCATATACAGTGTATGTCAGAAAGGAGATACTGTAACTTAAGAGAGTAAAATTAATTCTTCCATGTAAAAAAAACAACAACAGAATTGTAAGAAGTGTTTTTTTTTAAAACAAATTGTGTAGTTACCATTATTTTATTAACTTCTGATTGCTGAGCTGAAGCATGGTATGACAACACCTGGAAAAATGAATGTTTAAAAATTAAGGCTGCAAGGCTCCACAAAGGCTTTCGTATAGTTTTCAAGATAGAGATAGGGCAATGTTTACTTTTATCAGTCCTTCATGCATTTTTCAAGTGTACAGGAAAAGATATACCCTATATTGTAAATTTAGATCTTAGAGAATTTCCATTTAATACTTCAGCTGCATATGCATGTAATTGCAAATTTTAACCAGAGACCCTGACTTCACAAGCTGTTCCAACCTTTAATTTAAAGAAGGTTGAAAAAAGGTTTAAGATGATGACAACTATATACTGTACCTCCATAGCAACAGACTGCTTAGCAAGCAGCTTACAAGCCTGCTCATACATCAAGGCATTGTGAATTCCAAGGCCACAGAAGATTGCAAATGCCTGTTGGAAGGTAAAGATTACTCAATTAAATGTAACATGACACTAAAATTAAAGGAATTGACCTCTTCAGAATATTGTCAGTTAAAAAAAACTCTTTTTACCTCAAAAAGCTTCTCATCACCTTCAGTAAAAGGTTTACCACTGTTCTTATTGAGCAACTGTGCAACACCTACATAAATAATAATGGTTCAGTGGAATTAGTACTATGTCTCCCTTAACAAGAAATACGAACCAAATCAATCATAATGACTGACCACGTATTCATGAAAATATTATTATAAGCTAGATCATGATGAATTAAAAATTATTGTTTTTTATTAACTTGGGACAAAATTTGAGATAAGATGGGAATAAAAAGAACACTACAGCTGTTTTGATAAAGTCTGATGGGGAAAAAAAAGTGCAGAAGTGCATACGACAACCCCAGAAGGTATTGTGGGTAGTTTCCAGATCACCATTCTTTGACCTCCAGATTTAAGGGAAATCTGAGAAAATGTGTGATTGATCTTGTGTAAGGAAAGATGTACTAAATTCCAGCAGTTCCTCAAACTGAAGTGGCTTAATTTAACACCAAATACATGTACTTGCCTACAATTTTCTGCTGTCTGTCAAAAATTGGCATACAAAGAATAGACTTTGTCTTGAATCCACTTTCAATATCTCCCTATGAAAGAAATCAAAGGCAGCATTACCAAAAACAAATAGTATATAATTTTTAAAAACAATGACAACAACAAAGAAACACATCCCTTTTTTAGAAAAAAAATTTAATCTTGTTTTTATTTGACGCAAAACAATTATTTATAATATGTAAATTTTGGTTGAATCAGAGAACAGATTGTGTCAATTGTATGACAATTTTTAATTTGGTGGTAGGCTTAAAGTTGAATGCAAACATTTTAGCATGTTTAGATTTACTATTAATGATTATCATAAACCAGCCCTAACTGAATTGAAATTTCCCAAATACTGTACAAAAATGTGTGCAAAAATGACTCTTGAATTAATAACTAGTAAATAAATAATTAAATAAAGAAAGAGAGGAGAGAGAGAGAGGAAAAAAGAAAGAGTGAAAGAATGGAATGAAGGAAGAAAAATATACGCAAACAAGGCTAGGCAATTGTAGACAACCAGGCATTCAAAAGAGAGAAGATGAAAGCAGCAGTTATTGAGTGACTAGGGTCATTACAATTTATTATACATACCTCTGGATTAAACCGACTGTCAGCATAGGCATCAGGAATATTCAAAGCCTAACAACATGATTTAGTAATTGTTAATTTCATTATTTTTTTGCAATTCCAATAGTGCAAGTAACAACTCACTATGATACAATTTGCTTGAATTCAAGTTCTTGAAGTTGAGAAAAACACATTTTGTATATTGTGTTTTACACAGAATTATGAAATCACTTAATTACAATGATGCTAAAATCTTTACTTCTTGTCAACTCCATACTTGTTAAAAGGAGGTCAATACCTTGCCAGAACTTCCCACCAATGAAGCAATACCAGTGTTCATTGACCAATGAGTTTTACTTGTCCTGCAATAAAAACCAAACACCATTGGTATAAGTGATCCTTGACACTGAAATTAAGTAAATACATAAGCACACATGCTGTGGTATGGCATGTCAAGGGTGTCTTAACTTTCTTTCAGATATTCACATACAATGAATTTGATGATCAAAACAAAGGCTAACATACAGAATTTTGTGTGGATTTTCCAATCAGTTTCATGGTGTAATATATAACTGTGAATAACTGTGTTATGCTTTATGCAATGTACATGTAGGGTAATACTGCTAACGTGGTTAATGAAAAGATGACAACTGAAAAAAATACCCACAAACATATAGCAAGCCAGTCCTTTCTGGAAAGTAAACAGATTGTTACAACTTACCACAATAATCAAATAACAGATCTGAAGTGAGCACAAATCAATGTGTGACAAGTTCACATTCAAGAAGTAATGACTTTCCAGTGCTTAAGAAGTAGTCCACATATGACAATCTTTATTTTCCAAAGAAACCTCTTTTGCTTAAGGAAACAAGTTAAAAATTCTGATGGCTAACTTGTTCTGTTAAATGGGGCAAACTTTTTGCGATAATGACATTCTACAGATGGTGGGGGGGGGGGGCAACTTTGAAGACAAAAGCTTCATATACCCTGTCACTTTAACCTATATTGCAAGAAAGAGATAAGCTCTGAGAGAGTGCACTACTTTCATTTGTGAGACATTTCCCAAGGATCAGAAAGAACTGTTTTTGAGAAAATATAGATCTGAACCAAGTTATCTTATGTTTGGTTTTCAGACATGACAATTAGCATGTCAAGGAAACATGTCTATTTCTATGCCTTATTTAGTAAAGGAAAACCAGCAAACTCATAGCGATGTGTAATTCAGTATCCTACCATTTCATTTAAAACTATTCAGTCTAAAAAATAAAATTGAAAGAAAATAACAACATAAAAGCTTCACTGAACTTACTTTGGTCCTGTATCATCAACAGCTCCTGGGTGAAGATCAAAGGCCTTGGAAAATATGGTCGCTTGCTATTAAACAGGTAAATAGTTTTACAATCAATTACTTTACACAAACAATGTTATTGATCTTCAGGATCACAAATGTTGAGAGAATAATGTACATGTCATTGTGCTCAAAATTTGTCATCATGTCCCTAATGAAGACACAGGCTTAAATTTTTGTCTTTTGCCTATATCAAAACATGTAAAATCTGCATTAAATAGATGACTGAGCTTTAAATTTATGACATATCTTAATCTAATCAACATTACTCATGTAATCAACATTACTCATGTAAACAACATTACTCATCCTGACTGTGTGCAGGACACATGCACATATGAATCAGTGGTAGAGCAATACAGTGCAAAATAAACTCAGGAGAGGGAGGACTCAGACTTTCTGCTACATAAGACAAAAAAGACAAATTTTGCCATATAAGACAGATAACACTGAACATGAGGTCACCATAGAACCTCTACCAAAAGTGGTGCCCTCTTAAAACTGGTTCCACAGAATAGCAGACAAAAATATTTGAATAAATACTTTTCAAATCAAAAATGATATTTCATGGAAGTATAACCAAGGTTGATTTAGAATATCACTGAAATAAGGTTCATTTGTTTTTGTGTTAATGTGTGAGCTTGGGATATTCCTAACTCACTTGCTGTCTCCAGTAGCATAGTACAACTGAATCCCCATCTAGTCCTGAGGTTACTCTATCAGTGAGAAGAGATTTTTCATATCTGGCATCCACTAATTACCTGACTGACTATTTATCTTCTGTGATGGTGCTTTTCACCCTCAGTAACGAGGTAAAGTAAGCAAAACAAGATTAACTTTTACATAAAACAAACAAGAGGAAATAATATCTGCCTCATATTCACTTACAGTTTCGCAAGACTCGTCCCTGAGGAAAACCATACATCTTTCAACATCAAGTAATTGTTGTACCTCAACCATAATGTTATGGACACATGTATCTAGGTTACTCTGCTCTTCAAATATTCCACGTGCAAGTTGAAGAAGGATCTACAATTCAGTCGGTACACCACATGGCAAACCCAGATCACAATTTGGTTATATAACAGTATTGTGCAATTAAAGTAATGTGAGTGAAAATCGGCAATATCTGTCAATTCAGGGCTTTAAAAAAAAAATGACTAATTTTAGTCCACCAAAAAGGTTTAAAGGAAAGTTGTTGATTTTTTTGCGATAGCAAAGAACAAACATCACGGATTTCGCCCTAAGCACTTAAGCACCATACGAGCTCTGAAGAGCTCTGTAATGGCCCCGTAGAGTTAGCCAGTTGTTATTACTTTTCTTCATTACTCTATTTACAATCTCAACGTCAACGGTATAAAGGTGAATACACACGCTTTTCACCGGACAATTCCACTCTACGCTGAGAAGAAAACAAACCATCCACCTGATTGAAAACAATCCAAGGCCTCTCATAAGACGGTATTGTAAGCACCCAACATGTCCCCTCCCAGCAAAACACCAAATCCGAACAATTCCAACTTTTCACACCTTCAGTAAACTTACGTACATCAGCTCACATAGCTGTCAACTTTACTACACATCTGATCTATCCTGAACGGCACCTGTTCCTTCGCAATACCTGATTTCTGTTGTACTCCTGTACGGAAATTTCGAAAAGCTGAGCATTTGTAATCCCAATTCCACAAAAAGTTAGATAATTCTTGAAAACCTAAAATTGAGCGAAAAAAGAATGTTCAGTTTGTGTTTAAGTCTTATAGTGATAATTGCGGATTTACAACGTGCTATGGGTGCAAGTGGGACACCATGAAGTGGTGCTGTCAAACAAGAAAACCTCGAAAAATTATCAGAAAGCGACAAAGAAAGATATTTTCAATTTTTGAAAAGAACAGCGCTAATTCATCCGCTATGTTGATATATTACTGTATTACTAACCATTTTTCGCGGCTCAAAGACTTACCTCTTCGTCCTTTTGAGTAAACTGGTGTTTACCTGACTTCTTGTTTATGATCTGCGCTACTCCGATTACCTGTATTGTAATGAATAAAAAAAAAGATGAGGTTGGCGATGAATTGAGGAGAAATGCACTCGAAAGAAAAAGGCGTTTTCAGCATTTTTCGCCATGGGCCTGTTTTCATCGTCTTCATTTTTTGATGGTAATCCGGATTTATTTTGAGTAAAGAACTCTTATTCATATAAGGGTCCCCAATATGATTCTTCAATATCGCGATCCCGACTAAAATTTTCTCTCAATTCCGTAATCCCGATGGTTGATACCGGCCAATCACGATCCCGATCATACAATTTTGTCTTAGCCCATTTCCTAAACCTAGAAGGACCTTTCCAGTCAGTGATGATTTTCTTAACCAGCATTGATCCGTTGAAGTCTATGGTCACTATCAGGTATAAGTGTTTCCTCTTGTTTTCTTGTTTTCTGTTTTCTCTGTAACAATTTTCACCAAAATGATGATATCGTTCATATTAGAAGTTTGCAACGTCTTGCAGGAATAACGTACGCTAGTCACGGTAACGACTTCCTTTCATCAAACTTCGATCACGGACAAACGTAAAGGTACAGGCAGTCAGTATCAAAGAAACGAATAACAATTTCTACAAGTGCATAAAATACAAAAGGTCACGGTAATCCCTTAGTTCCATAACAAAGGAGATAAAGAAAAATTAACTGAACACAATTCTGCTGTTGAAGCGAATACTTCTTTCGAAGTAGAAACCTCTTCCGAGGTAAAAATCAGCCTCTCGTTCCAAAGGTGGAATGTCATTATCATCACTCGAGGAATCGTACTCCAATATTCCATCTTCCTCTTCGCCTTGTTTCCTGCTGTTTTCTTGCTGCTCCTCGAAGTCAGAGCCATCGTTGTTTCCTGTCTGACAGAGAGCTGACGCACTGCTGCAACAAATGTTTACGCCCAGTCCCTAATCTTCTGTACGCTCTGTGGTGCCATCAGCACAGGTGATAATGGTTGAAATGGATGGTATGGCCGAGAGGATCCTGGCACGTTCGGGTACAGGATACCAAGAATTTGGATTTGTAAAATAGTACGCCGCTCAATGGGTTGTCCTCATTGAGCCTTCTTTGGCTACATTTCCAAGGTTTCTTGGGTAATCTAACACCGTGAATAGTTTATCTTTGTGACGCACAACCGAGTAACTATTCTTCACATCTAGTGTCATGTTACTCAACAGGTCATATCGGTATAATTCTTAGACTTGCTAGAGGTTTTTCAAGGCCGTTAAGTATTTCAATTGACACAGTAGTCTTAGATACCACGTAACCCTGTGGGCTATTTAGGATTTTTGATAAATTGGCAACTTAGAGAGCTAGAGAGCCTCTGCGCCTGGTGCTTTTCATGACTGAGAAGATCAATTTCTCCATAAATTTTCGTCAACGGACATCCCGGTTCTCGGTTCGTTTAAGTGATTATTTCCCGAATCCTGCCCCTCAGAATCGCCGATTCCCGTGTTCCATTCATAATAGCAATCCCGCATCTCGCTCCCTTCTTACTTTAAATTCCCAGATCCCGGCCTTTAAATAAACCCAATCCCGGATCCCGAAAAACTTATTGGAGACCCTCTCATATTGTCGATGTGGCTTCCCTCTGTTTCCCTTTTTTTTTCTTTTTTCTTGATGTTGTTCAATTGATCTCCATCAAGTCTGGTCATTAGATTAAAGGATGGAAAAAATAACCAAATGTTTTTTTACCTCGCCATCATGACTTTTGATCGGCATACATAGAATACACTGTGTTCGGTAACCAGTGGTCTTGTCGACTTCTGAGTTAAATCGAGGATCCTAAAAAACAAATTGCATTAATTAATTGTAAAAAAAAAAAAAAAAAAGTTGATTGAGGTAGACGAGACGTTTCAAGCTTTAGCTATTATGTCGAATTGAAGTAGATAAGTTTGCCAGTAAAGAGGAAACTTAAAAAAATTAAATGAGAAGCGTTTGTTGATCCCAAGGAGAGCCACGGTGTGGAGCACAAAGAAGTACTGCCAATTGTGCTGTTGCTTTGTGAAAAAATTCTGTAAACCACCATGTTCTCGAAGGAACGACGAGAAGATTAGACTTAAAAATGGCCGCTATGAGGTATCTTCTTCCCTGCTTCTTTTGTCCCTCGTGTGTTGGCCAGAGCCATCGTTTGGCCATGGTCTCCTCTTTGTCTCTCCGATATGTGACTGTTTACTCAGAGGGCACATTATGCAGACATTTACACTGGTGGACGTTCGAAAAAGGTCAATGCCTTTGATCGAACGTTTTCGCTAGAGATGTCACATCAATAGTGTTTTGACTTAATAGACAAGCTTTACATTGCGCGCGCGAGAATCTACAAGAAACTACTTGTGTGTGAGTGCTACAAAAAATTCACCTTAAAAACTGACAGCATCCTTGTCTCGAATAAGAAATAGTCTAGGTGTTCATTTTGAGGTAGTTGCAAGGTAACTTAAATAACCTTTTCCACGACTGAGCAGTACTGTGCAATATTCATGGATATATAGTAACGGCGTCTTCTCGGAAATCTAACTTTTCGTCATCCTTGTAATGAAAAAAAAAATTACCTCTTACTGCTTTGGTTTTCGTAACAAGAGCAGTAACCGGGATCAGTCTCTTATTCAAAAGCAAAATGCATACAAACGCATTTTCTTGGGATGGTGCCATACCAAGAAAAGGTTTTTTCTTCAAGAACACATCAAACTCTCTTACTTAACGAATGAAAGCGGCGATTTCGTGTACAAATCATTTAACGTTGGTTCAAATAACAGGTTTCACATTCTTTATACGGTATTTATCTATGAAGAGTTCTCGTGAAAGGTCTGAGAGATAAGTTAATCCTACTTATCAGCTCCCATTAAGAGACAAATGAATTTCCTTAAACTGGAATTACAGTATTTTATTCGTTACTAGAATTATCGACATGGTTTAGAATCCTTTAAAATAATGCGAAGGTTAAGCAAAACGATCAGAGCGAGATAGAAACAAGTGTCACAGCTAATAGGTTCATACGAAACAAAAAGTGAGATTTGTCAGCCAGTGCGGAGATTAATTATAAGAATCAAATATTTTGAACATCATTATGTTACATTTCCTTGTTCCACCGGGTGTGGCCTTCTCTGCCTATTTAGTTGTGATGAATGTATGAAGGGAGTTTTCACTGCCACTTGCGCCTTGTCGATGTCGGGATCAGTTGCGGTGAATATTCTGACAGACTAGAGTTAATTGCCGACAAAATGAATAAGTCGAAATGTGTATGTGTATGTGTATGGGAAAAATAATCGTTTGTTCTCGTTAGCGATCGTTGCAAGTCAACACCGTGAATGGGCGAGACCGTGAACCAATCGGTAGGAAATTTTTGGGGAAGGCTATTTAGGAATTTGATAAAAGTTTATCATTTTTCTCTTAGGCGGTATGATGCGGTAACGGTGATAGAACAATAGTTTCTACAGCGAATAAATCATTTATGTAAATTATTTAAAATAAAGACTTTATTAGGGGATCACTATTATCATACCAATGACATATGAAATATTTGTAATGGAGTAAAAAATAATTTGAACAAATGAGAATCTCATGTGCAAGTAAGATTTCGATCCACATAATTATACAATAACGGAATGCATTAAACTTTCTTATCTTGTCTTCATTCCTCCTCATTGACCTTTGAAAGTGTCTTAAGTAATATCATCACGGCCAAAATCAGTCTTAATTGGCGGTTATTCACGTGAGTTGATGTGTAAGACCAAGTCTAACTCTTGGGGGTGTTATCACCTCACATCCAACAAAGAGTTTTAATTAAGACTTTAGCGCCTCATTGTGCCAATTGTGTGCCGTTAGACACCACTGGTTATTCTGAAATTATCTCTCACGATGCTGCTTGGGAGAGCAGCCTAAAAGGATAATAACAATGAATAAATCTGTTTTTTCTCTGCGACATCTGATAGGTATATAAGTAGTACTGCTCCAAAGCAAAATGCTCACTATAGCTGGAGTTTTACGAATGTATGGTTTCATCAACAGTATCGCTGTGTAGGAACATTTACGTATCAAATTTCATTACTTCAAAAACTGTTTCTGAAACAATAAGTATACTTTTCGTCACAGCAGTGCAAGAAGTGGCGTTTGTTGATTTTAACTAGCTTTGTTTACTCATTCGAAAAACAGTATTTCCATAAAAGTTAGTCAGAGCTCTTCTAGAAATTGATAACAAGTACAAGTTGTTGTAAAAGTGTTTCCCTGGTGAACCATGGGGGGAAACAAGCAATCGTTTTATTTCAATATTCTATTTCTCCACCAAATTTTTTGCGATTAAAACAATTTTAAAAAAATAAAGCTTTCGTGAACTTACCGAATATGCGTCATTAATGTTGATAGTTTCGCCCGTAGCAGCCGTATGTCCCGCAATACCAACTCCTAAGGGAACGCAAATTTCGTCCTTCTCCAATCGTAATGACTCATCGACCGTGGATTCAGATGTCACGTCGAAAAGCTTAGATACTAGAACTTTATTTCCACGCGAACCTCGTACAAGAAAAAGCGAGCAGCGATCAGCGTTTGTCAATATACTAACGTTAACAAGGATTTTGTGGCTCAGCATATTTATGTCTAACTCGTTTGCGATGTCTCTTATCAGTTCCATAAACAATTCTCTTTCATCCAAATCTCCGAGGTTGGATTTACGTCGAGGTGAAGAACGTTTCCGTTCATCGCGAGCCGATCTAAATATTGAGTTCAGCTTGTCATTCTCGAATTCGCCATCTGTTTTGAGAATTAGCTGAGGTTTGATGCTGTCTCTCTGAAGATGGTTCACTTGCATAGCCCGTGAGCCAGGTCTGTGCGATCTACTGCTCATCCAGTGATCGACCATAGAGGAAGTTGCCTTTCGCTCAAAGTAGCTCTTAGCAAAATCTTGATGATCATCCAGATATTTCTCAACAAGTTCATTGCTCAACGGTTTGTCGCTCGCCATAACGAATTTTCTTTTGTCGATGACTTGCACCTGCTCTCATTTTAATGCGCCAACAGCTTCATTGCCTGACATTAGTTATTGGTCTTCAGAGCTGAATGGTTTTTTAGTCCAATCCATGTCAATATTTCCGCCAAAGTGTCTTTCTAAATGATGCACTCATCTAAGTAAATTGGTCTGACGTCACAATAGTTAATGATACATCTATAACCTTCCACGCGCGTTTTTCGCGTGATGACTCTTTTCTCGGCCTAGGTTTCGGTACAGAAAAAAAGTAGTGAAGTTAATGCTATCATACACAAAAGAATTAAAACAGTATTGGATTTGTCCTTTTAAAGACTCAAATTACACCATGTTGTCACTGTCACACCTTTAAAACTCCTCTATTCATCATGTTTGAAAAAACAACTGTCAACTCGCAACTCGAAAGATTAGTCTCGATCTTAAGTTCTTAAAAAGCTTGAAATCATTTTGCATTTTGGTTTGTTTCTCAAATTGACCTCAAGATTTTAATCTTAAAAAAACTCGATGGTTTCTCAGCTTACGAGCACACTCTCTTTGATGCTATGACACGGGAGACACCCACGCGTTTTGAGCCGGCGAGCGACGTGAAAGCTCGAGTTTCGCAGGGGTTTTGACACACAAACCACTCAAAGTCCTCTCGCCGGCTAGAATCTCAATGGTTTGTTGGCAATAACGATCGACAAAACGGTTCTTACCCCGCTATTTTTTGTTTGATCTCGTTTGTCAGTTTGTTTGTTTTTCGGGCAGACCTGTCTGGTGTGACTTCGACTGCTTAGACTTTAATTTGACAACGTCTTAATACACAGAGTAAGCAAAGAGTCACAAGAGTTTGAATACCCCTTTAATAGACATGGTGGATTTGCCTGAGAGCAGGCCCTGATTATTGACATTATTAGCTTTGCCGGACGTGCGTTCCTCTGCCACATGTTATTCGACTTATTACCATACCGATGGCATATGAATTATTTGTAATGGAGTAAAAAATAATTTTGGACAAATGAGAATCTCATGTGCAAGTAAGATTTCGATCCAAATAATTATATAATAACGGAATGCATTAAACTTTCTTATCTTGTCTTCATTCCTCCTCATTGGCCTTTGAAAGTGTCATTATTAATATCTCCACGGCCAAAATCAGTCTTAATTGGCGGTTATTCACGTGAGTTGATGTGTAAGATGCCATTACCTTACTTCCAATAAAGAGTTTTATAAGAAGTCAATCACATTTCAACTTAATTAGTGACATAACCCGACTACAACTCATTAAAAGTGAGAGGTGGTCGCCTGCTGGAAGTTCCAGCTTTATGGTTGGTATTTCCTTTACAAGAAGACTTCTAAAACTCGTTTTGTGAATTAATTATGCATGATTTCGTCTTAAAAATGCCACCGTCTGATTATAATATTGTTTGTTGGTCGAAAAAGAGGTCACGAGGCTTTCCTTCAAATCGTATGAGTCTTATGAGGCCGAAGTAAGAGAAGACAACAACTTGATTACAACCCTGGTGAAACAAGTTCTAGTTACTACTCCAATAAATGATGATTAATAAACACGACCATTATATGGGATGCCATATAAGTGCCTGAGGAACCAGTGCTTTACCAGAAAAAAACTCCGAGCACTCGAAATTAGAAAAATTTTACAGCAGATCAAGGCCAAATTCATTAGCCACTGAAGAAATCTTCTAGATGAGAATCTAATTCCTTATTCAAAAAGGTTCGAAAATATATATTCTCCATACACTCTTCTTCCCTACCATGGCCACTCATGTGCAATGTTTAGCAAGAACTTTTAAGTTGATCATATAATTTTATTGATTTTTTGAGTTGCAGATATTTGCATTTTTCATACATCTAATATCGGGAGGTGGAATGATGAGATACTGAAACCTTTGAAAATTTATACGTTGTAAGTTGTTTATGAGTTGAACCATCTAAAGTAATTAAACTTCAATTTTTAACTTAGTCTGTGTTTGGAGATTTCGTTTGCTGGTTTAAAGAAGGCTTTCCTTTCACTAATTTCCATGTCGAAGATCTCTCCATCTACATCATCTTGAAGGGTTTGGCTCAGTCCTTAAGGATAACGGTTTTTTTCAGTCTTTAAGAGCCAAAAAAGTCCGGCGCTAATGTTCTATCCAGGTGTGGCTCCAGACAATTCGTAAATTGGGAATTTTTGTGGTGTTTTCCATAGAGAGAAACTTCGGGTTGCTTATTTGTAATTATGTGAAGGTTCGTTATGAATTAAAGTTAATCGGTTTTGTATCATAACGTGTTTATGTCTGGATTAAAAAGAAAGTATTTGAAAGCAGTTGAAATGTCGCCTAAACACCTAGCTTTGAGAAAGGTCTAGCATTTTACAAACTACTTAGGAAACTTTCCAGTAATGGCGTATTGAGAACGTTCGTGTTAGGACCATCCCCTGTCAGAGAATGGTTGTCGAATGACTGAGATTTCTTTGTTGCTGAACAGAACAATGGCCTTTTCATCTGCATATTTTCAGAATTGGCATTTAATCTGGCTGAAGAAAGGCAGTGTATTTCCATGGAAAAACTGGAAGTTTTGATACGATTCTTTAAATCGTATTAACATGCTTAAAGAAAGTTTAAGCTGTTATGCCTCTGTGAAAAAAAAGATAGAAAGATAACGATTCCCAATTTTCTTCGCTAAATTAAAAAGTTGTGCCAGCCAACCATGATGAAAGATTTCATCTCAAAATCTACCCTAGGTATACGGATAGCTCCCGTTTTTTTAATTCTGACGTACGTAGACATTCTCTTATATTACAAAGAAAACTGAAAATTTTCCCCGGCGTAGGATCCAACAGTGCAGTAAGTTTTGACAGTGAGTACAAAAGTAACGACAACCCAAGTGATTTAACTAGAAGAATCTTTAAAAAGAGCATTCAATTCTTTGATTTCCACGCATTCATACTGGCCTCTAACTACTGTAGCTACTACAACTCTTCTTAAGTAACTGTTCTCCCTTAATACTCCAATATGTAAAATATGTTTCGTTCCTTCTCTTCAAAAGAAATACGACCACTTTTCCCTGTTTTTAAAAGAACCACATTGGTTGTCTGACAAGTACAGGATTGAGTTCAAGATTTTAATTTTACAAGTAAGGAGCTATAAGCGAGTCGGATTGGATCGCGAAGAATTACAACGAAAGGTCGTTAAAACTGTCGGTCTTTGAGCTAAGATCGCGTATAGAGGACTGGAACCGAGGTCTAGAAAAAATTAAAACCGTTTTAAAACATCATATAGATATTCAAAGTTATGGTGCGATTTGAGTTGTTGGCTATTCAAAGAACAAACACTAAAAATTATCCCGTCCACGCTCGTAGAAACTACAACATCAAGACTGAGATTAGAATGAATTGATTGAATTGTCTTCCGTTGTTAACCGCTGACCACAAAATTATGGACTTCTACTGTCTTCGTTTAGAGCACAAGCCGGATCATCATGGACGACCAGCACCCAAAAGCGAAGAGATATGGAGTTGAAGTTTTTTTGTCCAAAGAAAATCCCGAGTTAGCCCCAGAGTGTCCTCACGGTAGGTCATGCGCCCATTTTCTGAGTGTCGACTCTGAAATATGATTGTATTGCAAGCTGAAGTGCATTAATACTTCTCATCTTTGATTTGTAGCTGCCTCTTTATTAATTATTATTGCTTTAGGATTTGTTGAATTGAATTCTTGATGTCGAACGTTTGTAGTTTAAAACATAAAATTAGAAGCTTATTTTAAAGTATCAGGACTAACCAAACCAACAACCAAAAAGCAGTGCTTTTTATTGTGTTTTCGTTGTAAGAGCTGTTCTTCAGCTGTTGTATTGTTGTTACAATGGCGAAAGAAAACCTACTTAAAACGCCAGCCATTGTTTCACTCGCAAATTTTCAGCGTAGCCAAATGTTGTGGCATCCAAGGCTCGCATTTGATTTGCTATCTGTGAATTTCTTTGATTATTGACCAATCAGAATGTCTGGTTTGTAACTTTCTTTGCACTAGATTAACCCTCTTCTGCATTATATTACCTGAAAACTGCATTTATCTTAACCAATCAGAACTGAGTAATTTTTTCATGTATGTTATTATTATGGTAACTGCACAGTTCTTTTTACATGACTTTGCTTTGTCCCAGTGTTGACTCTTTTTGCAACAAAATGTTATCAGCTGAATCTATTCACTGCTGTACGGGTCACAGTGTGGTTGTCATGTGATAGATCCAAACTTGAGATCCCCGGTGGCATCTTACAATTTTATACTCATGAGAATTTGGCTTTAACAGTAATTGAAATATGACTCTAATAAATACATGGCAGTTACCGCCATGTATCTCTTGCCTAAAATCACTTTCACATGGTATAATCACCTCTTTACACATAACTGCTAATCATCCATGTGATTACACTTGTAAGGTAAAATGACTCACTAAACAATTGGAGTTGTGTGGAAATAAATATTTCTTGATTGTTCTACTTTTTTTAATCTGGTTCAATAGCAACTTACTAAAGTGTTTTGTGTTACATAGCGTTATCACTGCAAGGAAAGTTCCTATTACTCAATTGTGTCATAAATCTACTTTCCTAAGTAAAAGTATACAAGTATTGTATTGTAAATATACTATCTTGATCAATGAATAAAGGACAATTGAATGAGGAATGAGAAGAGTCAATGAGAAGAATCACTTGACCTATGAATACTCTATACCTCGCATCAAGTGTTGTTCATACTGCATTCTGCTATTTGGGATCAAACTTTTTTGAATGGGGAAAGTTCTCTTTTTTTTTTTTTAATTTTCAGTTGTTTCATCTTCCTTGATAAGATCAACAACTGTCCTTGGGTGGCAAAAAGCTTAATTTTTTTCATTAATTCCTTGACTATGAAAGAAAGATTCAGTGCAGATCTACATTTTTTGGTCAATATATTATTCTCATTCCCTCAGAAGTAACCATATGTAAATTATTATCTCTGCTTTGCCTTTAAGGACCAATGCTCCTGTTTGAAAGATTTTACAAGGATGGTCGGTTACCCCGCAGGTTCTATGCCTGCTCAGCATCCAGAGACAGAAAACACTGTTCATTTTTTCAGTGGGAGGGAGATGTATTGTCAGAGG